TAAATAATATCAAATTTTTGTAAAAACATTTATGTGACCTTAGATAGAATTTTCAATAATTTACTTTAAGAATAAATAATACATGTTTCATTTAAATATTATAACACGTGTTTATTTTTATGTAAAACTGCTTTGATCTGAGACAGAAAAAGGCCTCTGAAAGTGAAACCGAGAGAGAGAGAGAGAGAGAGAGAGAGAGAGAGAGAGAGAGATAAGATAGAAGAGTTCGCGGCAGGGACGCGTCTCCCCGCAGGTAAGGTATCGCATGGGGTTTCGCAGGTGGATGGTTGGTTGCTTTTGGACCACCGTGTAGTAGCCTGCACGCAGGCGGGGGTCTTATAATATCGCGTCATACGAAACGATGAAATAGTGGCCGTAGCGAAGGAATGTTCCCTACCACTTGAGTCGTCGAGAGTTGAGTTGACTGGCGTTGCGTGGAACTCTCCCAAGCAAAAGCAGCAACACACGGCTGGCTTTTAACCGGTGTGTCTGTACCTCGAGACTCTCGCTGCCCAGCTTTTTCTCCTTTCCTTTCCCACCCCGGCCCCCCGTCCACCGCCACCCTGCACACATTCACCTATCCTTTATGTTTCTCGTATACGCGCCTCTGTTTAAAATTGCATTTCCAAGTATCCGCGCGTTCTCTTCGGCGAATTGTTTTTAAAATTCGCGCGTGCTGAACGACTCGTCCGCGATACGCGGACCGTCGATTAAAAACGTGTATATTTATGGGTAATTAGGGGTGGACAAGCTGGCTGCGTCAGCGTCCAGCCCGTATCCGGTCGAGTGTCCAGCTTTCATTCACGGCGCGAGTTCGCAAACTTGCGATATCACGGCGAGGGATAAGAAACGGGAGGCGACGCGAGGCCGGACAGAATAAGGACGGGCGAAAGAGAGAACCACGGCCGCGAGATTCTCAATGCGGAGAGACGGGAAACAGGCTGTGGAGAGAGATTCAAAAGGTGTGCAACGGGCCCAAGCGTGGGCTACTCGTGATCATCATGACAAAAGCTCTGGGCAAACATCCATTCAATTTATTAGCTTATAGGCACGCCGTCTACTATACGCACCACCTACGACACCACCACCAGCCTATAATACTCGTAACATTATGGCCGGTCGGCGAGGAGCGCGACCCTTGTCCGTGTCTCTCTTCTCTCTGTTCTCCTGTGCCACGCTCTTTTCCTGAGTTACTCCCTTTCCGCCATACAGTTACACTTTTTACGATGTTAAACGTCCTACGGTTCTGCGATATTTCACCGACGCAGGGAAAGAAACGGGCCCGATATAAGCAGTATCAGGCCACGCGGAAAATTTCTCCACGTTTTCTGATGGAATGCAATAATTTAATTGCACCGACTACTGTCCTTGATAAACGTTTCTCGATACACGCTGTTCGGAGAGCCGTACGCTGCACAGTAGAACGTAGAACGAATGTCCGATCTACGCGGAAAAAAGGCATTCGAACAAATAGTGATGCACTCAGCTGTCTTTTGAGATGCTTATACAAGCTAGGAGCAGAAAGAATTGATTTAAGGATGTATAGGCTATACATATACTTAAACAATGCTAGCATGTTGAATTTGTTATTATAGATTCCTATTACTATTAAAAAGCTAAAATTATAGTAATTTCAAATTTTTCATAGGTAATAGTATCATCTACAACTTTTACTTGAAGCATTTGTCGAAATTCCGCGAAAAAAAAATTTTCGATTTTTCCGAGATTTTTCCAAGGGGTACCCCTTCAGATTTCGCGAAATTTTCGTTTTTTGCCAATAACTT